ATGCCACACAAAGACAATATCCACACTGAATGTCCCTACAACACCACAAAGACAATATACACACTGAATGTCCCTACAACACCACAAAGACAATATACACACTGAATGTCCCTACATTACCACAAAGACAATATACACACTGAATGTCCCTACAACACCACAAAGACAATATACACACTGAATGTCCCTACAACACCACAAAGACAATATACACACTGAATGTCCCTACAACACCACAAAGACAATATACACACTGAATGTCCCTACAACACCACAAAGACAATATACACACTGAATGTCCCTACAACACCACAAAGACAATATACACACTGAATTGTCCCTACAACACCACAAAGACAATATACACACTGAATGTCCCTACAACACCACAAAGACAATATACACACTGAATGTCCCTACAACACCACAAAGACAATATACACACTGAATGTCCCTACAACACCACAAAGACAATATACACACTGAATGTCCCTACAACACCACAAAGACAATATACACACTGAATGTCTCTACAACACCACAAAGACAATATACACACTGAATGTCTACAACACCACAAAGACAATATACACACTGAATGTCCCTACATTACCACAAAGACAATATACACACTGAATGCCACACAAAGACAATATACACACTGAATGTCCCTACAACACCACAAAGACAATATACACACTAAATGTCCCTACAACACCACAAAGACAATATACACACTGAATGTCTACAACACCACAAAGACAATATACACACTGAATGTCTACAACACCACAAAGACAATATACACACTGAATGTCCCTACATTACGACAAAGACAATATACACACTGAATGTCCCTACAACACCACAAAGACAATATACAAACTGAATGTCCCTACATTGCCACAAAGACAATATACACACTGAATGTCCCTACATTGCCACAAAGACAATATACACACTGAATGTCCCTACAACACCACAAAGACAATATACACACTGAATGTCTACAACACCACAAAGACAATATACACACTGAATGTCCCTACATTACCACAAAGACAATATACACACTGAATGCCACACAAAGACAATATCCACACTGAATGTCCCTACAACACCACAAAGACAATATACACACTGAATGTCCCTACAACACCACAAAGACAATATACAAACTGAATGTCCCTACATTACCACAAAGACAATATACACACTGAATGTCCCTACAACACCACAAAGACAATATACACACTGAATGTCTCTACATTACCACAAAGACAATATACACACTGAATGTCCCTACAACACCACAAAGACAATATACACACTGAATGTCTCTACATTGCCACAAAGACAATATATACATTGATTCCAAAGATGAACACATGGAGTCTGCATTAACAGCTTTTTATTTGTGTTTAATTAATTCATACATTTTAAGATCCAATCAATGTCCTAAGAGTCTTAATACTAAAATGGTAGCATAATCTATTCTCTGATTCAGATGTGAAATGCTTTAGATGAACCACTCAATATCAGTCATTTTGGAAATGTCACACTTACATTACACTTGTATTATAACAACTTCTATTCTATCACACACATTATCATTGTTTTGTTAATGCTGTTTTTGGATTTGTCTATATTAGGTCATTGTAAGCATAAACTACATGAATCTTTTTGCTGAACCTTGTTAAGACAAAGGAAATCCAAGGGGAGGCTATTCTTCCTGTGAAGTCTACATTGTCCATATGATGCATTTTTTTGAGAATAATGTGTCTTTAAAGGGAACACCATTCATTTAAAAACCCCTGTGTCTTCATATTTGAGCACTTTGACATCTTCATAGTTGAAGATAGCCCAGATGATGTTGTCCGACTGTATACCTAAGGCTACAGGGCTATTGGTCCAGTCAACCAGCAGGGTCTTGAGGAAATGCCCTTCCCCACTTACCAACAGTATACAGTCGTTGTTAAAGTCTGCGATTATCAGGTCCCCTTTACTGTCATAACAAAGAGACCAGGGCTCGAATGGTGTTGGTCTGAGTAGAGAGTCATCTGGAAGTTTCTTTGTCTTACGGCGATAGTAGAACAGAAGATTAAGCTGGTTGTCCATCACTGCAACTCGTGGTTTGCCTTTGCCCTCATCTTCAACCCAATCAAAGTCTGCTACAGCAACGTTGCGAGTAATACGACATTGTGTGATGCTGCGGGGAGTGACAACAATTCTCTCCCCTTCCCTATCGATGGTGGCTGCGTGAATGACCTTACCCTGGAGATTGTACAACCGTATCTCCTTTGTCATTCCCACTAACACTTTGTTGTCAGTTGTGCAGCAGATACACCATGGTTCACGGCTACACTTGAACCGGAGACGTGGCTCCTTGGCCAGTGTGGTGGTCAGCTCTCGCACAGAGTTGTCATCGCGGCTACACATCCATAGGTTGTTTGTTGTTGGAGATTTGGTGATGTCCCATACCTCAACTGATGTTTGCATCTGTTGTTTCACCTCTCCAGCCTGGTTGAGCATAAGGAGTCGCTTCCCTTCCCAGTGTGATACCCAGGCATGGTCTGATATTGGACAAATTTTGCTTATTTCATATGGGTAGTTGAATTCAGATAATATTTGGATCTCTTCATACAGTGAAGACCTAATGGACTGTGCATCAAGTGATTGGCTTTGGTCATCATCAGTTGCCTGACTTTGAACCTCTGCCAATGCCAGTTCATCACCTGTTTCAGATGGTTCTGTCGGTTCTGGGCCCATATCATGCTTGATCCTTATTGTGCCAGTGGCAGCTTCAATTAGCTCTTGAGGGTAGTTGATTGGCTCAAACACAGGCACTCGTAGACTTGGGAAGTAGGGCAGGTTGAATGCCCCGTATAGATCTCGTTGGGTGTCATACACCTGAACATTACTTCCAACACGCATGGCTTTATTACAGTCATGTAGCAAAGAGGTGATTTTGGCATACATTGTCACTAACTCCTTCTTGTATTTATGTAACAGGTCCATGGTTTCTGTCTCCAGCTTTTCCACTGTTTCTATTAAAGGCTGTGTCATATTGTCAACTTCCTCTTTCAGTTTTGCATTCTGTTGTCTTATTTTGTAGATAATATTTGGAAACAGTTTTCTTTTCTCATCTAGTATGCCCTCAACATACCTCATTTCAGCTCTTATCTTTTGTTGTTCAATTTTCTCCGCTTGATTAATGAAGATTTGAATTTTTTTGCGTTGTCTGATGGCAACAAGCTCATCCAGAGATGACACTTTGTGACCCTTGTGTCTGGACTGAAGACATTTGGCACAAATAAGTTCTCCATCACAGGCAACCTCCTGACAGAAATACACAGTCTCCTTGCCTTTATGGAAAGGACAGAGAGAGCTACCCTTCTCTCTCACAGGAAGTGGCAGTGGTTTTCGATAAGCCATATTTGAATTTTTATTCAAATCCTTAAGTTCACTCCAAAATATCAGCTTGAAATTTGTAAGAAATTAAATCCTTCCTTTTGTCTTATATATTTAGTGTTTATAAATCTGATGACTTCTACAAACACATGCTTGTTCCTTCAATGAGAGTTTCTGAGTTTATATTCTTCGTTCGAGAAATTAAGTCAGTTCTTCACCGTGAGACGTACTGCACTTGAGGTGGTATGTACGTATTTGGCAACCAAGTGTACTATGATAGATATACAGAAGAAAGATAACCTGATATACCTTTAAATATATATTGGACCTGCGAAGCTTTTGTTACATCTAAACCCATTGTAATAGGCAGGGTTGATCAATACAGTTACAAGTTAATGGGTACACAATCAAAGTTTTATCTATCTAAAATCTGGAGTTTGAATTGTTGAGTATTTAAATGAGAAGATCACTATCTTAAATGTTTCAAACACTTAATTAGGCATATATACAACATTTGTATTAAAAAAAGAATCATTTTGTGTTTAAACAATACAAAAACATTGAATAAGAAATGTAAAACTGTTTACTCTACATTTTGCTTGTTATAAGTCTACACTTGTCGTAAGGTCCATTCCCTTGTAAATCAGGTGTAATGAAATGAAAGGAATTTAAACTAAAAAGTGAGTGAGCCCATAGATATCATAGGTTTGACATTTGGGTGGGATGGTAGATATGTTATGCCTTTGTACTGAAGCTGAGAACTAAAATGTGTGGATAAGTTGGAATTTTGACATGTGTACTGTGGCTGTGTACTTTGTTAGATTAGTAGCATTGTTTATCTTTGTACTGGGACTGTATGTACATTGTGTAGATTTGTAACATTGTTTATCTTTTTACTGAGGCTGTTTTTACATCGTGTAGATTTCTTTATCTTTGTACATGGGCTGTATGTACATTGTGTAGATTAGTAACATTGTTTATCTTTGTACTGAGGCTGTATGTACATTGTGTAGATTAGTAACATTGTTTATCTTTGTACTGAGGCTGGATGGACATTGTGTAGATTAGTAACATTGTTTATCTTTGTACTGAGGCTGGATGTACATCGTGTAGATAAGTAACATTGTTTATCCTTTTACCGGGGCTGTATGTACATTGTTAGATTAGTAACATTGTTTATCTTTGTACTGAGGCTGGATGTACATCGTGTAGATAAGTAACATTGTTTATCCTTTTACCGGGGCTGTATGTACATTGTGTAGATAAGTAACATTGTTTATCCTTTTACCGGGGCTGTATGTACATTGTTAGATTAGTAACATTGTTTATCTTTGTACTGGGGCAATATTTACATTATTTAGGTTAATAACATTGTTTATCTTTGTACTGGGGCTGTATGTACATTGTGTAAATTAGTTACATAGTTGATTTTGTACTGTTGCTGTACAATGTCATTGATTTTTTGTGTACATGCAGTATATTAGTTTTAATTCTTATTGTTATTAATGGAAAGGATTTACTGAAAATAGTTGCATTGCTTTTATCTCCAAGAGTTTTCCTTTTTTATATTTTATATTATTTTGTTGCAGAGCTGTGCTGAAGCTGTGCTACCATCTTATCTACCCATTGTTCAGAAACACAAAAATGATGGATATTCGTATGCAGACAGGTATGCTTGGTAGGATGGGCAGGAAAAAATAATAACGTTTATGTAAGAAAATGTTAATTGAATTAGTCTGTATATGGCTATGGTGTCTGGTGTAGAAATCTGGTAAATAAATTTAAGAGTAAATCTGCAAGAGTTGTGCCCCTTTGTAAACTGTTATTAATATAACTCTGGTAAAATGCTGCTCAGCTAGAGAGATCTCCCACTTTCACTTGACCAGTTTTGCGGAAGTCTAGCATAGCAGATGATCCCAGGTTTGATTCTTACATAAATGAAGACCTGAGTTAGATTGGTGCCCATATAGGGACTCTAGGAACCTAGGGAATTATATTTATCCATGTCTTACAAGCATTGCTATAACCACCAGGAGGATGAGTTCTCTCTGAAATAGGAAGTATGTGACCCTGGTAAATTTTAACTGCAAAATATGGCTCAGCTAGAGGGTCTTCTCTTGATCATTTGACTGCAAATCATGCCACATGTCCCATATTGAATCTCTAGCAGACCGAGGCATTGACTTTTGATACAAATACATGATTCTAGAGACCTGTAACAGACGAATAGTGAATGTTTTCCATTTCTAAGTGAAATAAGTGAAGGAGCTTAAAATAATTTGCATGTAGGCAAACTCTTTATCAGGTTAGTGTAGCTATTAAAGCATTACTTGGTTGTCAAAAATTGTCAACCGTAATACTCAAATGTCTTTAAGAATAATTGGTATAATGATGTTATTTTGCTATCAATGATAATGTGAGGTAGAATAATAGAAAAAACAAATCATTTTTAAATTTATAAAAGATATTAAGCTCAAATGAGATTGATGAAATTGTTTACAGATGTCTTATGAGGTTTTCGTTAAAACATGTGAGAGTAATCTCCCTTCTGCCATTCAAAATTTTACATCAACCATTTAATTTGTCCCTCCCAATAGACAGTGGCAACTATTGAGAAGAGGGAGGTACGTGGAGTTTAACCTTATCTATGACAGAGGTACCAAGTTTGGGCTGATGACACCAGGGGCAAGATTTGAAAGTATACTCATGTCCCTACCTCTACATGCAGTAAGTATTAGTGACACAAATTGTTGGTTTTCTTGGACTATGCTTACTGTACATACAATCAGAGGTAACTGGGTGGACCTACCATATATAAGGTTGAATTGAAAATTGTCAATGGCTAAGCTGACATAAGTGGAAATTCTGGATGTATCAGTAGAAAGCTCATGTGTATGTAAGTCTTACTGAGTGTGTATGTAGGTTCACTGAGTGTGTTACTGAGTGTGTATGTAGGTTTACTGAGTGTGTTACTGTGTGTATGTAGGTTCACTGAGTGTGTATGTAGGTTCACTGAGTGTGTATGTAGGTTTACTGAGTGTGTATGTAGGTTCACTGAGTGTGTATGTAGGTTTACTGAGTGTGTATGTAGGTTCACTGAGTGTGTATGTAGGTTCACTGAGTGTGTATGTAGGTTTACTGAGTGTGTTACTGAGTGTGTATGTAGGTTTACTGAATGTATTACTGAGTGTGTATGTAGGTTTACTGAGTGTGTATGTAAGTTTACTGAGTGTGTTACTGAGTGGTTATGTAGGTTTACTGAGTGTGTTACTGAGTGTGTATGTAGGTTTACTGAGTGTGTAACTGAGAGTGTATGTAGGTTTACTGAGTGTGTTACTGAGTGTGTATGTAGGTTTACTGAGTGTGTTACTGAGTGTGTATGTAGGTTTACTGAGTATATGTGTAATGTTACATATGTATAAGTTAATGGATGTTGGCATGGTCACTGTATGCAAGGGTTACTGTGTGTATGTACAATGCTGTTGTCTGTACGACTGTGGTCATTGGGTGACTCTGTGTAGGGTTGTAAGGTTATGTATAGGGTAATTTGGTGTATATTTAGGGATAATGGGCAATGTGTATGTTTTGGGTTACTGGATTTATATGTAGGGTTACTGAATGTAGGAGGGGGTAACTGTTTGTATGTGTATGATTACTGGGTATATACATAGGGTTGCTGGGTGTATTTGAAGGGTGATTAGGTGTAAGTGAAGAATTAGTTACTTTATGGTTAAACGTTACAGGGTATTACTATGTACTAATGTTATTCCTACTGTATGTTACAGAAATGGGAGTATTGCCACTCCCCCAGTGCAGGCTCCAAGGAAGAAGAGCTATTGAATGTACTCAAAAATCCACAGGACTGGGTCTGATGCACAGTCTGGTGTGATGGTAGTTGAACAGCTTGCTCCTTGGATTAGAAATTATTTGCTATAGAATCTGATGACCAGGATATGATTGCAAAGTCCAGGGATTCGTTGTTATCACAAGAAGGACGTCATATGACAGAACAAGTGCAGTTGATTAGATGTAACTGGAATTAGTTTGGATATGTCATCATAGGACAGATAATTAGGCTTGACATCCAATAAATCAAATGTCATGGTACCCAGTAAATGAGAGGTTGATGGTGGCCTGTTATGACAAGCATTTTTTATTGTCATGTGACAAAAATGATTTGAGTGAGCATTTAATGATGATCTTGAATGAATTCATCAGACAGTGTTTAATGGATTTTATTTAATCAGAATATTTTCTTAAAGGAAGATGGGGAGAAATAGATTTGATTACAGGACTGTATGGGTGTTTTAAAAGATATATATGTACAGTGGATTTCACAGACTATGTGGATGCCTTCAATGCCGTCACCAAGGAAACGGATACATAAACTTTACAAAATTGTTGGCATGGGATTTGTATGCCTTGAAGAGAGACCGTTATTTGTTCAAATGCAGTTTTGCCAAGGTGGAATATATTCCCAAGGTTTACACAAAACTGGAATGTGAAAATGGCTATAGATAATGGACAGTTGGACTCAATGCAATGTTCGTATATTTTTATATCAAGTTGTGTTCTACTTTTAATCCATCCATTCTTCCTAGAACTTTTCTAAGCCAGTTCATCACTGTGATTGCAATAGTCTGGAATATTCTCTGTGACAACTGTTTGGTGGAAGATTGATTCTTTTTGGCTAGTTGTCTAGAAGATTGACTTTCTTTGGCTAAAGTTGTCTTGGAGATTGACGCTCTGTTACTACAGTCAGGGCTCTCACACCCCATTTTGGGACTGGGGCCCGGGGCCCTTAGAATTGGGAAAACTTGGGGTCTAAATTGGGAAAAAAAGACACCATTTTGCATTGGGATATTCAGCCCCAAATCGGGCAGATCGAGAGCCCTGACAGTTGTCATGGAGATTGATTCTCTGTGACTACAGTTGTCAAGGAGATTGACTCTCTCTGACTACAGTTGTCATGGAGATTGACTCTCTGACTACTGTCGTCTTGGAAATTGATTCTCTGTGACTACAGTTGCTTCAGAAAAAGACTGTTTTCGATGTCTCAACAGTGGATAAACTTGTCTTGGTGAGGTTCTAGGAGATAACCATGAACATGTTACCTGTTTGTTTTGTTTTACTGACCATGCATGACATTTGATAGATGGAAAGTTTATGAATTTTTGACAGCTTGTTATTGACTTTAGAGTTTATTTTAACTTGATGGTAAATATTATCATCTCATCTGTCATGAATCTTTTACTGTGGTGCTGCATCTTTCATTTTATTTCAACTTTAATGAAAATAAACATTTCTATAGGTGTATATTTTATCTAAGGATATGTGCTGTAAAGTGTGCTGAAATGAGGTATCAACCATGACCTTGAGCCATTTTTGAAGTCGTAGAGGTCACGGTTTCTTTCTTTAATCTTTAAACGACTGCTCATGAAAGACTGAGAGGTTAGTATTTAATAACATTTAGCTTGCAGTGTGTTAAAATATGATGACCTTTGAACACTTCCTAAAATGCAGAATTATTAAACAATCCCTTCAACAGAAAGGATATTGGGTTTTAGTTAATGGCAGCCATGTGTGCTAAATCATTCCAATGAATAACCTTGAATTATTCTGGTGGTCATCAGGGTAACATATCACATCAATAAACATCTGCTTCTGGATGAATTTTATTGCCATGATATTTTGTGATTGACATGATCATGTGATTAGTCATTATTGTCATTTAAATGATTCAAAACAAAATTGTTTCTTTTAACAATTAAATGAAATGCCAAGTTCCTTAATTCCTTTGAGTTGTGTGCCCTTGCAAAATTTAAGGTAGAGAATGGAAAGTGTACAGTAATTGTGACTTGATAATAAGAATAAATAAATGACTACCATCAAATGTACAATGGATTTCTTTACATGCTTCAGTATAATGATTAAGCTTGGATTGTTGAAAGGGAAGGTTATCAAATGTGTATGAATAGAGTATGTTTCTATAGTAATATTATATGGCCAGACGCTTGGCTTGATACAACCTTAGATCAAAAGTATTTAAGTATGTAGTAGTTTTCAAGTTCAGTATAGAACATTATTTTCCTGATAATTGGAGAACAATGAATAAAATTTTATCTGTATAAAACAAGTATCAATTAAAGGCAGGTGCTTTCTGTAGCTTTTAAACAATGACATCTAGTTTCAGATTCCTAACAGAGCAGTATTGGTTTACAAATTATAGTAGGTAGTTGTATGTGTAGTAATAAAAAGGGTGTATGGGCAATATGTAATCTGTTAAGAATGCCAGTATCATTGTGTGATTCAGTATGAAAGTAACACTTTGTTATAAATATGAACAGTGATTGTCTTTGGCAGGTTATGATAGATGAGATCAATTGATGACTTTAAAACTGTGCCCTCTAGTGAATAAATGCTGACTCGTTGGTATAGACCGAGTAAATGATCATTATTTATGTGTTGTGTTTTATTATTCAACGTTTAATAACAATATGCAAGTAATACAGGCCAACTTGGCCTCTTGTTTGATATTCTTCCTTCAGGCTTATTTCTCTGTCAGTCTGCGCTGATACAGCCTGATCTACAGCACTTCCTATAATATTAGGGAAATATATTGATGATGGTTATAAGGAAAACTGATACAAATCTAGTACAAATGACACACAAGTGAATAACAATTTTAACACAATAGATTTTGATACAGTAGAGCCAAGCAATGAATTAAATAGAAATGGTAGTAAGTCACTGACATCTGGATTTATTGAGGAACTACATCAACATGGGATATTGATTTTATTCCGCTTTTGGTTCCAATTATGTTCTTAACAAATTTCATCAACACTGTCAAATATGAATATATTTTAATCAGGCCTAATCATTTGATTTATTAAAGCGAAACTAAGATGAAATTTAAATATTTTATGATATAACAGGCACTTCCTCTAATTGGTTGATGCCATAGAACAATCTGTTTTATGTAATATTACAATGAGCTTTTCCTTATTATGCTTCCTGAACAATTTTTGGGGCAGCATATAGTTGCTATATTACACATGTCATACTAAGGCAATGTGCAGTGTACAAAATTCAGGGCCCATGACCTCTCAAATACATAGTTATTGCCCTTTGTTAAAATTTCATATCTGGAGCATAACTTTGCTTGCATTTAAATTAGGATAATGAAACTTGATGTATACAATGGTCATAGTAACAATGCACAGTGTACAACATTCAGGGCCCATGCCCTTACATTTACAGAATTATTGCCCTTTGTTAAAATTTCCTGTCTGCATTATAACTTTGCTAATGCTTGCATTTAAACTACGATAAAGAAACTTGGTGCCTATATTGGTCATTCTGTGCAGTGTACTGAATTCAGAACCGGAAACCCTTGATTGCAGAATCATTACTCCTTATTAAAATATTTTGTCCAATAAAGTCACTTTTTGGAAGCGTTCATCAGTTTCACTGATACTCTTGTTATCAAGGATGTTATCTCCTTTAATATGTTGTATCTCGCCAGTTTTACCTTTTTTAGTCATAGGAATTGGTGATAATGGATCTTTGACCAAGTCTGTATGAAAAATCACAACTTTATTACTGTTGTGGACTGGCAAAAGATTAAGCATATCATGAAACAATTTGATTTTGACAGAAAAAATAGGATTTGGAATTTTCATAATTTTTAATCATTTTAGCTTTCAAGACTTACATAGCAGTGCTCAACAATCTGAGTAAAGCAAAATACTCATAGAAAATTATTGTGTAGCATTGTAAAGATTTTATTGTCACAAAAATCTGAAAATACCATACATCATTTATGAAGTGTCCTAGATTCCATTTGATTTTGGATTAAAGACAGTAAAATATCACAGCACTCTTCTGAAGTAGTGGTGAACCTGACTAGTTTTTACCCATGTCACAGAATCCCCATGCTTTTACTAGTACTTACAAATGCTATAACAGCTTAGTTTATTTGTGTATTGAATTGTTTCCGACTATATCGACATTTCATATATATTGTGAATATGAAAACTGCCTTAGTTACAAAGATATACCACTGAAGGGAATTATATGGTAGAATGGGGTTTCATTTTAGAAAATATCTCTACGAACAGGCCTGATTTTTAGACGTAGATGTTGGCATTTTGTAATAGAGGAGTTATAAAGCAGCCGACTTGTAAAAAGGTAAGTGTAAGTGTAAAGGTAGTGGACAACACATCACACAGGTAGACTACACATACATGATATATCACTGGCAATTTTTCAGCTCAAGGCACAAGTTTACACTTGTCCATATGATGTAAACTGCACTGCAGCTTTGTCACTAAAATAGCTATGACAGCAGGAGATGCAGTAGAATTCTTAACTTTACTTTTATGGTCTGGTTTTGAGCGGTTAAATTCTGTTGTAAAATTTTATGTTATGAGTAGGAAATTAAGTTTCCACATGCGATATGACTTTTATTGCTTGATTGTAAATTTTAACTTTCAACAAATGGTATATGAAATTGCTTTTTGGATTGATGTCTTTTAGTGCACTTTTTATGATTATTCCGTATGCGAGCAACTGGAACAGGAAGTTGTTATATAGGTAAGTCATTGAAAGGCAGCTAATCATTAAGACCATTTTAAATTGTTTTGTGGCACAAACTCCAAGAGAACAAGTTGATGTCAGTTTCAATGTGGTTTCAATGAATGTAAAAGTATAAAAGATCTTTGATAGTTTTGTTGAATGCTATATATGTAGCTGAGGTTATTAGTTATATCATTGCCTCCACGAAGAATAAAAATTTTTACCTCTATCTTACTAGTCCTACCCTCAACTGATCAAGCAAAAACCCAAACATAGCCACATGATGACTGATTGTGATACTATATTTATACCTGCCAACTTTCC